ATTCTGGTTTGGTCTGGTCTACTAGGGCCTAGTACAGGGGCTCAGTCCAAAGTAATGTCCCCTGTCTCTTGTCCCCCATAAACTGTGTTGAACAGTAGTAAATGCTTGAATGAACTGATGTGCGGTTGATGTGGCCCAGATCGTTGTCAGGCTGTCAGATTCTCTGGCCACTCTTGGATCTTTACAGTGTCATATCAGGAATTGGTTCCTTTTTCTTTGTGTTTTACTAGGCAGTTATTGTTCATTAAATGGAAGGGAAATAAACTATTATCTTATGATTCTTGTATTTACGTCTGTGATAAGTAATTTTTGAGTGAATAAAGTACTCAAAACTGGGAGAATTTCTCTTCATTTGCTCTCTTTTAGTATAATTAATATAGTTTTATTGAAATTAAAATGTACCTAGCCGAGAATGTGATACACGTAGGTGTTCAGTGAATGTCAGCTAATGTTGTTCTTGTTTTAACTTACAGCAGTATCTCTTCTGCTACTTGTTTTGTATTTATTTGTGTTTGTTTACTCTTCCCCACCAGATCAACTTTTTGGGGGCAAAGACCTTACTACTTGACCTTGTTTTTGCCTCACTTTCTGTAACAGGTCAGTTATGTGTTGAATTGTATGGTGGGGCCAGCTAAAATATGTTCATGCTGGCTCTGACTTCTAAAGGTGTGGAACTGTTGTAGCAGTGGGGTATCAAAGCTCAGATAGTCAACCAGAGAGCAAGAAAGAGGAGAAACACAAAGATTGCTGTCTTGTTATGCTAGACGTAGGCTTTTTGCTAAAAAATTCGTACTTGACATTCTTATGAGATATATTTCTCTGAAGCTAGAAGTGGTTACATTTCTATAGTGTCTTGCAATCTCGTAAATAGAATGTTATATGTGAATAGTTAAAAACATTGGTGATGTGATCTCGTCGATAGAGGTGAAAAGAGCAGAATTTCAGGCTGGTTTAGGAGGTAAGGCTGGAAACAGAAGTGGTGAAATAGAGCTATATCTCGAGCTAGCTTCTCATTTCTGGGAAACTAGAATTTGGAGGCGTATGAGAGATGTCAGGGACTAAAATAGTAAATCCAAATACAATCAGATTAGGATAATATTGGTAGATTAACAGTGGGTCATTTAGATCCAACCTGTTCTCAGGTTAAGTGTTTTCAAGTAGCAGAATTCTTTATTTCATATTGATTTTGGATGTTGTGGATAAGTAAGATTAAAGGGCGTATTACTAGGGAAAATTTTATTATCATTGACCTTGTAAAATGCCCTGTAGTACAAAAGTAGGTATTTCATTAGATAAACTCTGTCATTTCTCTCATCAGACTACAGAGAAATGTAACCTGAATGTGAAGTGAGCTGCTGACGAGGTGAATGGTCTAAATGTATTTGAAATTACCTGCGCTCGTGTTGGCTGTCATAATGCTGTGTGGTCCCCTCCTCCCCTTCCCCTCTTCTTTTTGGAAAAAGACTTTTTTTTTTTTACTAGGCAGTTATTTTTCCTGGCTTGACTTTGGTCTGTGATTATTCTCTAAATTGTGACTTCCAGTGGTTTCATGATGTCATTTTTCTTTTCTTTTTTCCCTGAATGGTATAAAGAATTTTTATTTAGTAGTAGTATTTTAATACTTAAGCCTAGAGACAGCAGGATTATATTTTGTTGCTACCATATTGAGGTCATTATTTGGAACCTGAGCGAACAAGGATAAGTACATCTGTGATGGGATTTTAGCGGCAAGGGGTCCTTAAAGATTACCCAGTTTGTTCCTCTAGTCAGTGATTTGCTTATTTATTCAAATATTTGAGTGTCTATATGCTTTTCTTTGCAGTATTTCTTTTCCCAGATGTTGGTAATAATACCTTCAGTACAACTATCTCAAGCCAAAAATCTTAGAAGAGTACTGTCCAACATAGTAGCCACTAGCCACATGTTACTATTTAAATGAACATTCGTTAAAATGAAGTAAAATACTGAGTTCCTTACTCACATTGGCACATTTCAAGCTGGATCCAGCACTCCATGTGGCTGGAGGCTGCCCTGTGGGACATGGTCACTGTATAGAACATTTCCATCGCTGCAGAACATTCATTTGGACAGCGCTACCTCAGAGTACTCCTTGACTCCAGGGGAGTCAGCATCCCCATCCACTTAATCTCCCGAGACCTATGTCTGTCAGATGTGTTCCACTTAAAGAATCCTCCCTTGTCTTAGTTTAGGACTTCATCACCTGTCTTCTGAATTACGGCTTAAATTCAGTGACCAGCCTTGTGAAGCTGTCCCTGCCGCTGCCCCTCCAGCTGTAGCCACCTTCTCCCTTGTGCTCTGTGCATCCCCCACATACACCTGTCAGTGCGCTGGCCCCATGGATTGCTACCTGCTTGTTTACAGACTTTTCTTCTGGTGGACTGAGAGGTTCTTGGGAGTCCAGGATTGGGCTTTGGTTTTTCCAGGGGGAGGGGCAGGCATAGTGACTGACACATAACTACATATATATATGTGTTTATTGAGCAGGTAAAGGCATGGATGGATGGAGGCCATAGTAGGTTGCAGTTTGAAGGCAAGAGACCTTTGGATACCTGGAAACTAGACGACAGGAGGGCATTTGTGTCAGGGGGAGCGTAACGGATGCAGGGCCAGAGGTAGGAAGTTACAGGGCAATTCTGCTTCTGGACAGTAGCCACAGGAGAGCACTGTCAGCACCATTCAGAGTGTAGCCATGGACGGAAACAGAATTGGAGCGATGGTGTTGTATAGAAGCATGCTTCCCTGTTCTGGCCAGTATTGTACCTCTTCGTAGAGGTGCTGTGTTTCCAGTTAGCAGCCTTAATCTGTGACTTCAAAGGAGTTACTGATATGCTCTCCACTGTCAAATGAGGCTACGTATTAACAGAGTCTAGTGAATTCTTCAAGACTTTTATGGTTCCTGACTTATGTTAGAAATGTTAGCAGCTCAGCAGCAAGGAAAAATGCATGTGTCTGTGTCCAGAAGGAGACAATCCAATGTAGATATTACTTACTTACTCCTTCCTTCCTTCCTTCCTTCCTTCCTTCCTTCCTTCCTTCCTTCCTTCCTTCCTTCCTTTATTTATTTGGTAGAGACAGGGTTTCGCCATGTTGCCCAAGCTGGTCTCAAACTCCTGGGCTCATGATCCACCCACTTCAGCCTTCCAAAGTGCTGGGATTACAGGTGTGAGCCACACCGTGCCTGGCAAGAACAGTTACTTTCTAGTCAGACTCATCCTGACTCCTTTTTTGCCTACCTGTGTGATCCTCAGCAGCTCACTTTTTGATCCTAATTTCTTCATTTTTAAATGGAGCTATTGCCTGTGAGGACTAAGTTAAATGTATATGAGGTGTTAGCTCTATGCTTGGACCTGAGTAAAGCATTTACCAAATAATAGCTAATAACAAAAATGATAAGTCCATAGCCTTTCACACAAATGGGAAAATTCATAATTGTGTTTCAAAAAGGAAAAGTTAACATGTGATTCTTAAACAGAAGCGGTCATCCGGGAAATACATACGATGTTGGACATCTTCCTTATCCTTAGGCACAGTTAGCTGGATATAACCATCTCTTAAGTGAAATGTATAGTGCCGGTTACCCTCAAAATCATCAAGTCGAATCAGCTGATCTAGTAGAGGTAAAATTAGGCCTGGATAATCTAAACCCAGGGATAATTTTCTGTATTTGGAAATAAGGTGATCACTTACGCAAAGTACTTAAGAAAAAGCTCACTTTTCTCTTTTACTCAGCATCTAGAGCGTGCTGTACAGCTGCTCCGAAGGAAGAGAAGAAAATCGTGCTGCTTGAGTTTTAAATAAGTAAACTAGGATGTATAAAATAGAGTATCGTTGAATGATCATTCTGGTTTTTTTTTTTTTTTTTTTTGTACTGTTAAAAGGATGGTTGCGGTCTTAACTATGTGAGTTCTTAGAATCTACTGGCCTACATAGAATTGATGCAGGTCCAGATAATTCCTTTTAGTAGACTCAAAGTTGCTTTTCTTCTATAATGAAATGGCACAGTCTCTGCTTTCTCATGCCTGGACCTCCTTTCCCAAGCTTAACGCCTCCCACCCTTGTTTGACTTTCCTGAAGCTGCACCCCACCCCACTTCTGGGCCGCTGTTCTCTTGCTTTCTTGCATCTACCTTATTGTATTAAAATTATCTGCATTTATTTGTTACCCTCACAAGACTGAGTGCCTTCACAAACAGGCATTTTCTTACTCATTTTTATGTGTTCAGTGTTGAAAGAGGGGCTGACTTCTACAGGATGCTTGGTACACTCCTGCTGAGTGAATGGATGCCTGTTCACTAAAATTGTCTTGTATGTGTTCTTCCCAAGTGGAACATAATTCTGAGTGGGAAACTATATCATGCTTCTGGTTACCTCATAGCTCTAGCACATTGGTATACAACATTGATCAGTTTGCTCTGTAGCCTTGCTGTTAATGTCCAGTGTCCTGGAAACACTTTCTAAGGTCTATTTGGCAGTTATTAAATCTGTTACTATTTTATCCTTGTACCTACTATTAGAATATTTATAAAATGATCACCAAGACTTTTATTAAATGTGAATATTGTTAGGGGAAATTGATACAAATGCTCTTATTAGGTACAGTTCTTATGTGAATGATTACTATTATTTGATTCAGTCTCTAGGCAGTAACAAAACCTAAAATATATGTGTTGTTGAGTAAATGAATTGAGTAGTTTAGTTGAATACACTTAAACTTGACTTTTTGTGTTTCTGCCCTTTGGCTATTATTTACTGTGAGTCCTTGAAGTTAATTTCAGAGGTTTTTCCAGAATAGGGGGTTGGAATTATACAGGATTTCACACACCTTATTAGCTTCTTACTTAAAATAATTAAAAAAGAACTGGTTCAGGGATTAGAGCTCCCTTGAAATTGTTGAAATGTGAAATTTGAATTTAAGACTTTCTTGAAGACTTGAATGCATTTTGCCTACTGGTAATTAATTCTTTTTTTCTTTTCTTTATAGTTTTAGTTTTGATTGCTGTTACTCTTACTGATAACTGAGCCAAAGTGGTGATGCTACTTGAGGGGAATTTCTGCAACCCATCGTCAACGATTATATGGTAAGAGTGTGTGCCTTTTACCCTTAAAGCCATTTAATTCCTGTAACATAGTGTAGAAATTTAATTAGAAATAGAAATAGCATAAAATATTTTAATATTTTTGAGTATTAAATATTTAATATTAATATGCTTTAATATATAAATATTAACCACAGGTAATATTTTAGAGTTTTAGATCCTAATCAATAGTTTAGGACATTGAAAGAGAAAAAAAACTTGATATATTCATTTCCATATTAATTTTCTTGTGTGAAAAACATGGTTATGTAGTTTATGACTTATTAAGCTGAGATCTCAATTTTCCTCCATTTTTGCCCATTTACTTTTTCTTTCCTGGAATTTAACCAGTTCTTTGTTATCCGAATCTTGCTAATAATGAATGGGTATGAGAAGTCAAGATTTGGAAAGTTAAACCTAGTCAGATGGCCGGTGGCTCATGCCTGTAATTCCAGCATTTTGGGAGGCTGAGGCGGGTGGATCATGAGGTCAGGAGATCGTGAAAATCCTGGCTAACACAGTGAAACCCCGTCTCTACTAAAAATACAAAAAAAATTAGCCGGGCGTGGTGGCACGTGCCTGTAGTCCCAGCTACTGGGGAGGCTGAGGCAGGAGAATGGTGTGAACCCAGAAGGCGGAGCTTGCAGTGAGCCGAGATTGTGCCACTGCACTCCAGCCTGGGCGACTGAGCAAGACTCCGTCTCAAGAAAACCCAAAAACCCAAAAGCAAACTTAGTCAGTTTTACTATAATTTATTCTGAACTGAGGTGGTGGTGATCGTGATAGTGGCTAAAATGAGGTTTTTGAATTATTTATGGATTTCAGTGAGCTGTCTTGCTCTAATTTTAAGGGGTAATTGAGGAGTAATGAGACATAGCAGACTACTAGGGCAAGTTATTTCTTTGAGCTTCACTTTCCTCATGTGCAGAATACTATCATCTATCTTGCCTGATCTATGGAATTATAAAAATCAAATGAGAGGATGTATATGGAATTTTCCTTCTCTTTCTTTTGAAAGGATAGGGAGAGAATAACACGTCTTTTGGCTTTAAGATGGTATTGAGAGGTGGAAGAAGGGCTGTTATACCAGAATTAGAAGCTGGAAGATTGATCTCTAATCCTAGCTTGCCTTGACCTTGGGCATATCATTACGTATTAATTTACCATAGAAAAATTGAACTTGATTTCCATACTTTCACTTTATGGGTAATTTTTCAGGAATATATCTGTGTTCTCTGACCACGTTTAATTAAGCTAGAAATCAGTATCAGATACCCAAGAAATTCCAAAATATTTTGAAATTAATGATCACATCCTGAAAACCCATGGTTAAAGAGGAGCTTACAAGGCAAAATACTTTGAATGGAATGAAAATGAAAGCATAATGTATCAGAATGTATGTGATGCACCTAAAGCACTACTTTAAGGGGAAATTTATAGTGTTAAATGCTTCCATTAGAAAACAAAAGTTAAATAGCTTTTGGGCTTTTCCTGTGTGTCATGATGGGTTACAGGCTGATTGTAGTTCTAATAAATGGTTTCTTTTGCTTCCTATCCAATTAATGTGAAGAGGGGAGATAGTTAAATTTTCTTGTCAGGCAAGCATTTATTTTAGTATTTGTGTTCCGCTGTATAGTTTTTTGGGGGCTTCCAGGTGCGTCATCTCACCACAGCCTTTTGAGATAACCAGGAAGATATTACTGCTTTCATATCTAAGATAAGGACTGGAGGCTTACGGAGGCCTCAGCTCTTGAAGAACGTGGGGCTTCTGCTTGCCACGCCATCTGCTTGTTTGACTGCCGCGCTGCATTTCCAGGCCTTTTGAAGAAGCGCTATGTGTGTTCAGACTGTTGAAGGTGGCACACTCGGATTAGCCTGGTGAAGCAGATTCTCTTCGATGAGGCAATTCTCTAGGAGGAGTATTTTTCTTAGTTTGTATTATGCCCATCAGAGGTGGCCTGTTATTAAGTACTGTTTTGGAGCTATGCTCGTCTGGTTGCTAAATGTGTCTTTCCTCTCTCATTTCTTTTATCTTGATATTTAGTCCTGTGTGGTGGCTAACAGTCGACTTATTTTTACTTGACCTTCATGTTAGAATGCACATATTAAATAAACATTCGGTGATCTCCTACTTTTTCATACTCAGATGATCTGTCTCCACAGATTCGGTTTTTTCTCTTTTTTTTGTTCGTTTTTTGAGACAGAGTCTCCCTGTGTTGCCAGGTTGGTGTGCAGTGCCATGATCTCGGCTCATTGCAACCTCTGACTCCCTGGTTCAAGCGATTCTCCTGCCTCGGCCTCCCAGCTGGGATTACAGGTATGTGCCACCATGCCCAGCTAATTTTTGTATTTTTAATAGAGACAGGGTTTCACCATGTTAGCCAGGATGGTCTTGATCTCCTGACCTCGTGATTCACCTGCCTCTGCCTCCCAAAGTGCTGGAATTACAGGTGTGAGCCACCTTGCCTGGCCCACAGATTCATTTTGAAACTGCTTTATTGAGGAATGGTTGACATACAGTAAACTATGCTTATTTAAAATGTGTAATTTGAAATATGTCTACACCCGTGAAACCATCAATGTAGTTGAACTGGTGATCGTTGTTTCCTCGTGGCCCTTGGTCATCTTTCCCTTTTGTTTCTCTCCTACCCTCACATAACCGCTGGTCTGCTTTCTGTCCCTATAAATTAGTTTATGTTTCCTAGAATGTTATGTAAATGGAATAATACAGTATGTAGTCTTTTTGTCTGGCTTTCATTCAGCATAAATAGAGATTCATCTCTGTTGTTGCATGTATCAGTAGTTCATTCCATGTTATCATTGAATAGTACCTCACTATAGGGATGCAATGCAGTTTGTTTATCCATTCACCTGCTAATGGACACTTGGGTTGTTTCTAGTTTTTGGCTGTTACAAATAAAGCTGCATGAACATTCGTATACAAGTCTTTATATGGGCATATGCTTTTATTTCTTTTGGTTAAATACCTAGGAGTAGAATGACTGGATCATGTGATAAGTGTATGTTTAACTTTTTAAGAAACTTGCAAACCATTTTCCAAAGATGATTTTATTTCTCTTGAGCAGTGGCTGATAGTTCCAGTTTATCCATGTTCTCATCAGCACTCTGTGTGGCAGTCTTTTAAGTTTAGCCATTCTCATCAGTGTGCAGTCACATCTCCTGCGGTTTTAATTTGCCTCTCCTTAATGACTAATGCTGTTGAGCATTTTTCATGTGCTTGCTTGCCATCTGCATAACTTCTTTAGTGAAGTGTCTGTTCAAATCTTGTGCCCATTTTAAGAAATTGGATACTTTATTGTGGAGTTTCAAGAGTTCCTTATATATTCTGTATCAGATCTTTATTAGATATATGATTTGTACTTTTATTCATTGTAATAGCATTTTTTTTCCTTTTTACCCCAGAATGAAATTTTTGGGAGCCATATGGGATTATTTTTTGTTTGTATTTTTTGCACTTTCCCCAACCCCCACAAAAGTAGTTACTCTTTGTCATCCTCTTCCTTTTCTTCCGTGTTCTGGCCGGGCACTCAGTTTGTATTCTCTGTTTTCGGGGCTGTACATGAGTCAATACCTGTGAGGTGGTTTCCCCTCCCTTCAGGACAGAAGACCCCTAATTAGTGAATATGTTTGCATGGCTGGGATGGTCAGCTCTTTATTTCTGGAGGCTGGAGATCTGCCATTCCAATTGTCATCAGTATTGACTTGGCGTCCCTGGGGTGCAGTCAAAGGACTCACCTGGTGTACTCCAAGGTCAGAAGCCAGAACAGGGCCAGATTGATTCAATGATGAAAATGCTGGAGACAATTTACCAATATCCCTTGATTTTTACATGTTCATTTCTAATTGAATTGTATTGTGCTTACTGTGTGATTGTAATTTTCTGTGTGATTGCAGTTAACTTTTTTGTGTGACCTAATTCATAGTTTTTTCTTACAACTTTTTTTTTTTAAAAAAAATATGCATTCTCACATTTATGTATAACATTTAAAAAAAACTATCAATTAAAACTTGTTGGCCGGGCACGGTGGCTCAAGCCTGTAGTCCCAGCACTTTGGGAGGCCGAGACGGGCGGATCACGAGGTCAGGAGATCGAGACCATCCTGGCTAACACGGTGAAACCCCGTCTCTACTAAAAAATACAAACAACAACAAAAAAATACTTGTTAATTGTATTATTCAAATCTTGGTCTTTGTTGGTTTCTGAGAAAAGTATGTTGGGTCTTCTACAAAAGGATAATAAAAGTTCATAATTGTCATTTTTAATGGTTTTTTTTTACCAATTGAATATGGTATGTGTCTTACCTCCATCTGTTTTTGTTGCCTTCACCTTGAGTTTCTCTTGTGTCTTAGACCCTGACTCCCTTCAGTTGTTAGCATTTTCCTGGTGTATACTTTTAATCTCTTCATTTTTATCACTCCTAGTTATTTCATTTTAGATGTATTCTTGAATATTTATCTTACAAAACCCAAACAACTCAGTTTGTGTGTTGCTTTGTTCAGTGGCAGCTGTTTGGTGAGTGGTAAAGGACATGGACTGAGTCCAGGCTGCCTGGGGTTGAATTTAGGCTCTGCATAAACTGGCTGTGTGGTGTCTCTCCGGTTTACTTAACTATTATCCTGTTTCTTCCCTATACAATGGAAATATTAATGGTTTCTATCTCATGTTATAAGAATTAAATGAAATAATATATGTAAAATTCTTAACAGTGCTTGGCACATTCTGTAAGTGGTTTGGCTGTGTCCCCACCCAGAATCTCAGCTTGAGTCATAATCCCCATAATCCCCACATGTCAAGGGAGAGACCAGGTGGAGGTGATTGAATCATGGGGGCGGTCTCCCCCATGATGTTCCTGTGACAGTGAGTTCTGAAGACATCTGATGCTTTTTTAAGTGTTTAGTAGTTCCTCCTGCATTCATTCTCCCTCCTGCTGCCTTGTGAAGAAGGTGCCTTGCTTCCCCTTTGCCTTCCGCCATGTTTATAA